GGGCACAGCGCAACCCTAATCAAGCACTGCAGGACCCACACGGGCGAGAGACCCTACAGATGTGATGAGTGCGGAAAGAGCTTCTCGGAAAGTTCCAAGCTCCTAGAGCACCAGAGGATCCACACAGGCCTGAAACCGTACAAATGCCTTAACTGTGGGAAAGTGTTCTGCCACAGCTCCTCGCTGACCAACCATCAGCGGGTCCACACAGGTGAGAGACCCTATAAATGCCCCGAGTGCAAGAAGACTTTTGGACGCCGCTCCATGCTCGTGCGACACATGAGGATCCACACAGGGGAGCGACCTTACAAATGCCCCCACTGCGGGAAGGCCTTTGCCGTTCTCTCAGTCCTGATCCAGCACGAGCGGATCCACACAGGGGAGAAACCCCACAAATGCGCCCACTGCGGGAAATGTTTCAGCGATCCCTCGGTCCTGACCCGGCATAAGCGCATCCACACAGGCGAGCGACCCTACAAGTGTGTTCATTGCGGGAAGGGCTTCAGTCAAAGCTCCACCCATGCCCAGCATCTAAGAACCCACAGCGGGGAGCGGCCCTATAGATGTGATGAGTGTGGGAAGAGTTTCAGTGTAAGTTCCAGCCTTGTTGTCCACCAGAGGATCCACACAGGAGAGAGACCCTATAAATGTCCCGACTGTGGGAAGAGCTTTAGTGGCTGGCCAAATTTTAGCAGGCATCTGAGGACCCACGCCCAGGAGTAAACCCGACAGGTGACCCAATTCTGGGAGAAGCTACTGTGAGCACTCTGGGCTCTTTAGAGAGAGAACCCATGCATTGGAGAGATGCTATAAATGTCCCAACTGTAGCCAGAGCTTGTGTCTCAGCTCGGAGCTTCGTAGGTACCAGAGAATCCACATGGGTGGGGGGTTACCTATAAACACCCCAAATGATGGAAGACCTTTAGTCCCAGGATGTACCTTATTATTCATCAGAGGATCCACAGCAGAGACAGGCCTGAGCAATAAATGTGGAGGTAAGCGTCATTCAGAGCTCAGAACAGGACTTCTGCTGTGGCAAAGGAGTGGGGCCTCCGGGTTAGAGTGGGGCGGATAGTGAGTTTCTTTTCTACCTCTTATTTTTGGAAGAGTCATTGTGTTGATCTTGTGCAATGTGAGTTGTTAAAAATTCAACTGGAATGTGAAGTTGTCTTTTCTGGTAGAATGTAACTTTTCTTCACACTATCATTGGGGGGGGGGGGGAATCAAGTTTTTTCCTGAGGCCAATCTTGTCCCCTTCGGGGTCAGTTCCTGTGTACCATTGATCAGAACCATATGGGGCTAGCAGTACCCTACAATTGCCTGGTCTACACTACAGAGGTAGGTCGACGCGAGGCAGTTTACGTCTACCTAGATTTGTAAGCGTCTATACTGAAATGTAGCTCCCACCAACTTAACTCCACCTTCCCGAGAGGCATAGTGCTTAGGTTGATGTAGTTAGGTTGACGCCGTGTCAGTGTAGACACTGCATTGCTTACATTGACTGTTGCTGCCTTTCAGAAACCATCCCCCAATGCCCGACCCTGGCAGTTAAACTGGTGCAAGCACTTCTAGTGAAGACGTGCACAGCCAGCGCAAGGAGCATAGTGTGGACGTGTAAAACTGATTCAATTACTGCAGTGGCTGTACGTCGACTTAACTTGGGTCGGCTTAATTTTGTAGTGTAGATTTGCCCTGTGTCAAACATCCCACTCTGCTACCCCCTTCTGCCAGGACACAGTCCAATGCACAAGTGTCTTCACTAAGGGACAGGCTGGGAGAGGAATGGGGTGTCTTACTTCTGGGGACACTTCCTCAGTGACCTCCAGGGCAGACACTGAGATATGGGCCCTTTCCCAGGGCATCCCATTCAGTTGCTCCTCCCAAGGAAGCAGAGAGAGACCAATGCTGAGCTGTTTTGAAAATAGCACCTGTAAGGCTCAATAGCAGAAGTTCTTCCCCTCCTGTGGACATATGTTAAGTCGTTTAGGAAATTATTTAGTAATTTTAAGTATAAATACTCTTGTTTTACCAGGAAAGATCAAATACACAGATGAGGGAATGCCCTTCACTATTCCTTGTAAATCCAGCAATTCTTTACAGCTGGGATTTTGGGTACCTAACTCCCCCAGGGTCCTTGGAAAATCCCAGCATGCATCATCACCTCTAAGAAACAGTGGGTGAGAAATTTAAAAATAATCCTCCGGAGAAATTATTCCCTCATGAAATGGGATCTGTTCTCTGCAAAGTGTGTTCTTTCAGGCATATTGCATCACGGTACATGAACGAACACACACACACACACACAGCATTCAGATGTTGCAACCAGCACAATGGATGTCACCACAATGAAGCAGCTAGAATTTGTTTTCAAAACCCCCTCTACTTGCTTCGTGACTCAAATATCTCCAAGGTTCTTTTGTACCTCGAGATCATGTACCTTGACTTTGTGCTTCCTGGTTTTCAGAGATTTAGGCTCAGCCACTCTGAAAGGGGACAGGGCACCAGTAGGCAACTTTAACTTTGCATTAATCAAGTTGTGAGGTATTTAAATAAGGGATGGGCATATAGGTCCGTTCTTGAGGCCCATGAGGGTGCAGGGATAGGCACTAAGGCAGGCTCTCTGGGCCACTTCCTACTGCCTTTTTCCTGCTCCGGGATGCAGGATGTCCACGTAAGCACCAGTTTCAGGTTGCCTACCCACCTCCAACTCGTAGGGGCTTCCGCTCACTGACGTTCCTTTTCCCAGCCAGGGCCTGGCTGCATCCTGTCCTGGAGGAGGTCCTTCTCCCTGCCCTGTCCAGCCCCTATTGAGCCACTGGCTCCCTTTTAAACCCCACCTCCAATTGGAGCATGCTCAGCAAGGGCAGGGGGCGGGGCCTCCTGAGCCCAGAGCTGCTCTTGAATCCACTGCTGTCCAGTGAGGGATTTATACACCCCATCACAACATCCCAGAAGGATGTTTGCTTTTTTGCAACCGTGTTACATTGTGGACTCATATTTAGCTTGTGATCCACTATGACCCCCGGATCCTTTTCTGCAGTACTCCTTCCTAGTCATTTCCCATTTTGTATATGTGCAACTGATTGTTCCTTCCTAAGTGGAGTACTTTGCATTTGTCCTTTCTGAATTTAATCCTCTTTATTTCAGACCAATTCTCCAGATCATTTTGAATTCTAATCCTATCCTCCAAAGCACTTGCAACCCCTCCCCGCTTGGTATTATCTGCAAATTTTACACGTGTGCTCTCAGTACCATTATTCAAGTCCTTAATGAAAATATTGAATAGTTGTGAGACCCAAGATCTACCTCTACAGAACCCCACTAGATATGCCCTCCCAGATTGTCGGCAAACCAGTCAGAACTACACTTTGAGTATGGTCTTTCAGTCAGTTGTGCACACACCTTACTGTAGTTTCATCTAGACCACATTTCCCTAGTTTGCTTATGAAACTGTCATGTGGAACTGTGTCAAAAGCCTTCCTAAAATCAAGCTATATCCCATCTACTGCTTCCCCCCTTTTCACGAGGCCAGTAACCCTGTCGAAGAAGGAAATCAGGTTGGTTTGGCGTGATGTGTTCTTGACAAACCCATGCTGGCTATTCCTTATAAATCCGATTATCCTCCAGGTGCTTACAAACTCATTGTTTGTTTAATAATTTGTTCCCGTCTCTTTCCAGCTATCGAAGTGAGGCTGACGGGTCTATAATTCTCCGGGTCCCTTTGTTCCTTTTTGTAGAGACTTAGGTCTACGTCCCAGTTTTAGGCTCCACTTGCAATTCCCAAAACTCCCGCCAAACCGTTTAGGCACCTAAACAAATTCAGCAACTGCATTTTCTGGGTAAAAATTCCTTAGGGGCCTATGCCTCGGCCTTTGAGCATGTGCACGGCTGCCTTATCCTAGGCATCTGGATGGTGATATCCAGTCGAACCCCCGGAGTGATTCATGAATCAGGGAATATGGTAGGTGAGGGTGGGTCCTGAGCCGGTAGGTGTGCTCAGAGGCGAACTACTGGATCAGGGCCCATTCAGAATCTGGCTGGAGGAGGACAAGGTGGGTGACTCTACTCTCTAGCCCAGTGGTACACACGCTTGCCTGGGATGTAGAAGACCTATGTTCAATTCCCCACTTGGGAAGAGGGGAGAAAGGATGTGAACAGAGGTCTGCCCCGTCAGAGGTGAGTGCTCTAGCCTCTGCAAGGTGGGCACCTCCCCCTCTGGCTATTATGTGAGGAGCGAGGCACCAGCTTAGCTCATTCTCTCAAGACACAGTTGAGGCACCTAAGCCGCCTGGCTCCAGGAGAGGAGTTCCCATTCATGGATTGCCAGGCAGAGCTTGGTGACAACTACAAGGGGGTTGGCCATCATGCCAGAATGGCCCCATACTGACGATTTACAATTGTTCTCTGTATACCAGAGCATGGAGAGAGAGGCCCTGGGCATCCAAGGAGAAAGTGGTACAACACGGTATCTAAAACCATCCAGGCAACCCCACAACAGGCTCAAAAGCCGGGGGGAGGGCTCAAAATAGGATAGAATCTGCTCATAACCATCCCCCTACCCAAACGTAGTTTTGGAAAAAGGAGATGCTGATGATAGTGATGGTATATGGCTCAGGATACAGGCAAAGGACTCAGCATCTATGGAACACAACATAGGGCATAAGATACAGGCAAGGCTATATATGCTGTGCGGGAAAAGGGCGAAGGCGATCCTTGACTGTACAAAGAGGAGAAGTGAGTAGGAGGAGGGAGGTGACTTGACCTCTATATACAGCAACAGGCATAGCTGCAGCGCTGGCGTTGTGCTGCTGGAGCACGTGTAGTGTAGACGTACGCCCAGTCTCTTCCCAGAGGATGGCAGTGAGCAGGCAGTTGGGGACAACGAGCTTGCTTAGAGATTCTTCTGATTTACCCCACAACCTTCCAGATACAAAGCAACGTGTTCCGTAGTGAGAAGCCATTGGGGGAGGGGGGGAGCTTGTGTTGTGAGCTGTGGTGTCACAGCTGTCCCCAGAACAACCAAAAACATACACAAACCTGCTGTTTTGCAATAGGCACAGCTGCCTTCACAGGGCACCATCAGGTTTAATTGACAGCACACAGGGTTAATCAGGTAAAGTAGTGAGCGTTTGGTTCAATCAGCCTCTTGGGAAGGATAAGTAAAGGCAGATTCTCATTGCCCTGTAGTCCTCTCCCCTTCAGTGTCCCCTAAAAGCCCCACACTTCTGGGACACCGTCCTTATGAAACCCACCAGCCAAGGCCCTTGCTACAGCGAGAACTGGGATTTTGTAACGGGTTGGAGGGACTCTCAGGCTTTACCAGTTACAAGTCAAACAGGGAATTTTCTGTTTTCCAGTTCACACTCTGCACCCTTCCCAGATGTGTTTTTAGGAGTAAATTGTGAAACATTCTGGGTAGCTATTCCACACTGGCCACGCAGCAAGGACTATGGTTTTTGGGGTGTGGGGGGGCAGGGTTGTTTTGTTTTTTCAGACACACTCAGCGGACTGTGGGATGCAGTTATGGGCGGGAGTAGGACTTGAATGACCAGTTGGGGGTACCTACCACACGGGAAAATCCCTGTGTGCCTAGCCACCTGCAGGAACCCTGGGATCGACGGAGCAGCTAGAGATGGAAGCTGAGCGTTAAGATGCACCGTTGGTAACATTATTAACATTATTTGTGCACACGAGCTGTATCTTCAGCCAATAGCACGCTAGCCAGTTAGTGCATGGTAGAAAGCTGCTGTGTGAGTGGGGCATGACTGATTTAGTCCTGCTGAAAGTGTGAAAGAGGGTCAGTTTATTAATTTGCCAATGCGCCATTTAGATTTAAAGCAAACTAGATCAGCTGGATAGGGGGTGTGGCCAATATTAGAATGGAATCTAATAGGATAATCCCTTCCTATTGAATGCAGAGAATGCTAGTTCCGTAATTTAACACTAGGTTCTCTTCTGGTCAACATTAAACTTGAACAGTGTCTCTCCAATCAGGACACTGGTTATTCTTAACCAATCAACAATTTAGGAATTCACCTAGAACCACCCTAGTGTAGAACCAACAATTCACCAATCCAGTGTAGATACAACCACCGTTCTGGGGATGTACTGAATATACACAATACAGTCTTGCAAGCATTGAGGCTCTGCAGTCATTATCAATGAAGGATACAAGTCACCAAGGTTTCTTATGACATTTATTATGACATCAGGCATCGGTACTTTAGTACCTGGCACATTATGGCAGTTCCAAGGAGGTACTTATCTTTAAGGCACTTTGAAGAGCGTGATTGCGGCTACTTGAATGGATTGGTCCAAAAGAGACAAGTTTAGACTATTAAAAGCAATTGCTTAAAGTTATTGTTTTAAATCTCTCGCAGGCCAGTTTGTTTGAGTTTATAAAGGAGAGAGTGCTTATAGCATTAGTGAAAATCTATAGTGTTGTTACGTGATGTCTCACTAGAGAATATTGACTTACACAATACAACCTTCAGCTTATGTTAAAGAACAGAAGGGGAAATACAATCTTTGAAATGAAATCTCACCTCTTCTTCTTATCCTGGTAACCCTGGATCAAGGGGGAGAATGCTTTCCGAACATCTGGGGATACTGCAGCTTCTTCATGGGTTCAGTCAACCCCAGGCTCCTCCCACAGCGTGACCTCAGTTTTATAGACCCCAACTCCAGTCGTTGTTGGAGGGGGCCTCCCTGTAATTTCTACTGGTCATTTGCCAACCGAGTGCTCAGATTTCAGCCCAGTTTCTCTGCTGCTTCCATGGGTATCCAGTAGATGGAGGTAGTGTACAACAAAAGTCTTCAATCCTTTTCCTATATCTTTTTATGTTTGATTCATTTCAAGGATTGTATTTCAGATTAGCCCGTCTCATTTATTGCATGCAGTGTAGTTGTAGCCGTGTTGGTCCCAGGATACTAGAGAAACAAGATGGGTGAAGTGATATCTTTTATTAGATCAACTTAAGACTAAAACACATTTTTATTGAATTATTCTAAGCAGAAAAGTTATTTTGGAAAATAGTTAATGTTTAATACCGTTGATGAGGTGCAAAGGAATTTTGTCAATATCACTTTTCACAGCAGACTTAGCGCCCCATTGCCACCCGTCCTGCTGCGCTGCTGCTGTGAATTCTGCGCTAGCAAGTCTGCTGTGAAAAGTGAGATTTGTGTGTTTGTTCATTTCACTTTTCACAGCCTCCCTGCCCTGAAGGCAGCGTTGCCACCAGCAGCAGCATGGAAATAAGAATAGCCATGTTTCTCTAGGATCCTGGGACCAACACGGCTACAACTACACTCCATGTAATAAATGAGGCAGGCTAATCTGAAATACAATCCTTGAAATGAATCAAACAAAAAGACTCTGATAGGAAAAGGATTGAAGACTTTTGTTGTACACTACCGCCATCTACTGGATACCCATGGAAACAGCAGAGAAACTGAGCTGAAGTCTGAGCACTTGGTTGGCAAATGGCCAGTAGAAATAAAAAATAAGTTATCACCTCACCCACCTTGTGATGTTGTTTATTGGAATTTCACCCTTTTTAAGCAATTTCTTTTAATAATTCAAGGCTGTACCCTGGTGAAGTGGTTATATCTTTCCATCTTCCATTTTGTGCTATCCAATGCCTATTGCTTCTGGAGTGCAACCATCATATACCAAGAAAACAAACAAAATCCATTATAGTCTTCTAAATGTGGTGGATCAATTCCATACATTCTTTGATTGTATATAAGCATTTCATACTATTTAGTTCTCACAATAGCACAAAAGACATTATCCTCATAGAGAGAGAGAGAGAGTTTATCTGATTCATAGAGCAGACAAGTGTGCAGCTTCTAAATTTGGGGTGGAGGACATATTGATAGGACAAAACAGATCATCAATGGTATATTTGATTGATAAGCACAACAGATGTATAGTTTTGCATTTGGGATGAAAACATGTGCTTTGGTTTCTTGGGGTAACAGACATTTTGCCCTATTAGACCTTCAGTCTGCCAGCTTCCCCACCCATCATTTGATCCACTCCCAGGGTGCCATGGGGAAGCAGGGTATCACCCTACTTGGGGACTTTTTGGAGGTCTTTTTAGCTATATTGGGAGTGAGAAAGAGGTTTTATCCCTATGACAACTATGAGTGAGATTCTTGCTTAGGCAATTAACAATAATCTCATTCAGCCATTTTAGGTTCTATTTTTGGGAAGAAGTGGAACTCCAGACCTTGGCTGATCTGTGGACAAGTGACTTAGATCAAGAATTCTCAAACTGGGGGTTGCGAGGTTATTACATGGGGGTCACGAGTCAGGGGCTGTGCCAGCCTCTTCCCTGAGGTGGGGAAGAGGTGGACTAGACCAGCGGTGCACCAACTGGGAGGGGTGTCTGAGATTCTCTGGTGAGGGGCGCGAAGAAACTTTATTAATATCACTTTTCACAGCAGACTTAGGACCCTATTGCACTGCACTGCTGCTGACGGCAGCGCTGCCTTCAGAGCAGGGAGGCTTTGAAAAATGAAATTAACAAACATACAATCTCACTTTTCATAGCAGACTGGCTGGGGCAGACTTCACAGCAGCGCCCTCTCACTGTTAACCAGTAACTATTTTACAAACTAACTTTTCTGCGTAGAACAATAATTCGATAAAAACGTGTTTTAATTTTAAAACGTGGTTTTAATTTATAACGGCGGTCACACTCAGCGGCTTGCTGTGTGAAAGCGTTCTCCAATACAATAAGTTTGAGAACCACTCTTTTAGACAGTGTCTCACATGATATGAACCATTTTCTTATTGTCCAGGTGGATCTTATTTGAGGATGAACAGAGGTAGATAGCTTTGCTAATTTTTGGGGACCAGGAGGAACTAATAGGTACTAATCATTCAAGGCATATTAGTTCTCTATAAACCTGAAAGTGCTCAGCTGTTACCTTTAAACTTCCCTCCCTAAAGACTCGTTTACATGGGGAATTTTACCATCACAAATATACCTGGTTAATTATACCACCATAAGTCCCTGTGTGGACACAACCAGGCTTTCTCTGTTTTTGGTTCCTGCCAATCCCTGGCAATCACTTCCCCCCAACACCTAATCATCTTACCTTGAAATTTCCACTAACCATCTCGCCCCAGTGAAATATCTCCTTTCCTTCCTTCACCAGTTCCTTCCCCCTCCCAAATCTCACACCTCTCACCATAAATAAGCCGCTACTACCCACCCATGAACTTTGAACCTTGTAATTTTTAATATATATGAGTGGAGAAGTGCCCCGCTCCAAGAAAAGGAAGTACCACGCCAATGTTTTCTATCTTGTGTGGAGTCCCTATTGCGATGGTAGATCGCATTTAATCTGAACTTACATTTGTGGCATCGGGTGTTGAACAAGGTTTGATTTGACAGTGAAGCTTTCTAACACTTGCTGCATTTGTGAGGGCTCTGTTGCTGGTGTGTATAACATGATGCTGGGAAAGGGTGATCTTCTAATGAAAGCTTTTCCTACACTGGGGACATTTATAGGGCTTCTCCCTGGTGTGGAGCCTCACGTGCTTAGTCGGGTTTGATTTCTGCCTGAACCTTGCCCGCATTCAGTGCACTCATGAGGTTTTCCCCCCATGTGAGTCTTCTGGTGCTGGACAAGCCCCAATCTCCAATTGAAGCTGTTCCCATAGTCCAAGCAGGCGTAGGGTCTTTCACCTGTGTAGGTCCTCTGATGCACCAGAAGGTTGAACCTCTGGGTGAACCCTACCCTGCACTGGAGATATCTGTGGGACGCTCCCCCATGTGGGTCATTTGGTGCTTCCTAAGGTATGAGCTCCGAGCAAACAGTTTCCCACAATCGGGGCATTTATAGGATTTCTCTTCTCTGTGGCATTTCATCAAGTGTTGAACAAGGTACGATTTGAGAGCGAAGCTTTGCCCGCATGTGGTACATTTGTGAGGTCTCTCTTCCCGGTGCCTTAACTGATGCTGGGAAAGGCTGTACTTCTGACGAAAGCTTTTCCCACACTGGGGACATGTGTAGGGTCGCTCCCCAGTGTGGACCTTCAGGTGTCTGGTCAGGGTTGATTTCTGCACAAAACTTTGCCCACATTCAGTGCATTTGTGAGGTCTCTCTTGCTGGTGCATTAACTGATGCTGGGAAAGGTTGCACTTCTCACTAAAGCTTTTCCCACACTGGGGACATGTATAGGGTCTCTCCCCAGTGTGGACCTTCAGGTGTCTAGTCAAGTTTGATTTCTGCACAAAGCTTTGCCCACATTCCCTGCACTGATGAGGTGTTTTCCCCGCATGGGATTGCTGGTGATGGAGGAGCGCCGAGTTCCCCCTGAAACTCTTCCCACAGTCGGGGCATTTATGGGGTTTCTGTCCCGTGTGGGATCTCTGAGGATTATGATCATCACACCCAGCAGGTCTCTCCTCCACCATGGAGTCTCTCTGCTGCCACGCTGCTCCACCTGGGTCTTCCCACTCAGGGCTCCGGGACATCCCATTCGGCTCTGCTCCTGCAGGCTCTTCCTGCTGTGGAGTCTCCTCCTCTGTCCTGGCACCTGCTGGGAGAGAGAGAGAATCCGGCTGGGGCTCATTCCCTGTGCCAGGGAGACGGGGGAGGGGCACAGGGGTTTGTCGCTGAGCAGAAAACTTGATGGGCAGGAAGCAAATCCCCCAAACCCTTCCCTGAGGGGAGCGGAGGGGCCAGTTCTGCCCCAATGGCCCAGCTGAGCCCTCTGAGAAAAGCAGGAGGAGGAGAGGGCTCCTGCCAGGGGTGGGAATCTGGGAGTGTCACTTGCCGTGACGACAAGGACCTGCTGGGGACGATACTGACAGAGACAAGGTAGAGCTGAAGGGAGCTAGGGGGAGACCTTGGCAGCTTTGCTGGGATCCCAGCTTTTCCCTTCATTCCCGGACAGTCTCCGAGCCGGTGTCACTCATTCCTCACCTGTGCGGGCGCCTCTCAGGGTCTCCCTTTCCTCAGAGCCCTGGAGATCCGGGACCCTCGGCTTTTCCCCTCGCTCCACTCGAGAGACCATGGCCAGGTTGGGGACGGGGAATCCTGCTCGGGTGAAGGAAACAGGCGAGATGGCGCTCGGTGAAATCTCCCCCCAGGGCGCGGTATGGAGAACTGCTCCTTGATTTTAACCCCAGCCCCGCTCTCTGCTTGGGGGGAAGTGGAATCTGCATTGTGGAGTGATGGTCTCTGTGCTGCTAGGTCTGGGGGATCCAGAGGCCAATGCCCCAAAGGCACCACATGGGCTTCAGAACCTCCCTTCCATCCACCCCAACCCCAGCTGCTAATCCCTGAGGGGAAGCTGCTCCTCACCCGGTGAGATCAGAGGCTCTTTATTCTCCTCCTTCACCTCCCTGCAGATCTTGCCCTGCTCTGGGGCCAGCGCTGCCCGCTCTGCCCTGGAGGAACACGCAGCCTCCTCCTCCCACGTCACCGGCTCCTGGAACAACAAAGACTCCCGCTCAGCACCTGCAATCCCCGCCAGACCCACTTGCTGCCCATCAGCCAACGAACCATCCGATGGGAGCTCCTGCCATGGGTCCTAGAAGAGAATGGCCTCATGTCCCCTTCCCCACCCCCATGAGCCAGCCAGTCCTGCTGCCCTGGGGCCGGATGGGAGCTGGTGACGCTGGTGGGAACATGCTCAGGATCGGCTCTGTTTGGTAAACTGGGCCTATGCAAACACAGCGTGTTTCAATACAGCCAGATGCAAGGTCATCCCACCGGGAACAAAGAATACAGGCCTTACTGACCCCACGCGGGACTGTCTCATGGAAAGCACTGCTTCTGACAGGGATTCTGGTGTCATTGTCAACAGACCACTGGACAGGAGCTCCCCGTGAGGTGTGGGGGGAAGGGCCAATGCCATCCCTGGCTGTTTAAACAGGAGCAGCGAGGAGGGAGGTGGTTTGACCCCTTTGTGTAGCTTTGGGGAGACGGATATTAGAACACAACGTCCAACTCTGGTGTCCCCGTTTTAAAAAGGATGTTGACAAACTGGAGAGGGTGCAGAGAAGAGCCACAAAAATGATTCAGGGGCTAGAAACAATGCCTTACAGGGAGGGACTTGGCTCACACTGTTTAGTTTATCAGAAAGGTAGAGGGGTATAAGTGTCTTCACAGCAAGAAAATTCATCAAAATTTAGATTCTACTTTCACACACACACACCTACACACACAATGCATTATTAGCCTGTGTAACTCATTTCCACTAGATAGCACTGAGGCCTGGAGCTCAGTGGAGGATCGGATAGCAACGTGGATAATGAGAACCTCCCTAGGTACATTATTAGCTCAAGTAAATGTGCTGGAGCACCCATGGGAAAAGTTAGCACGTGCTTAGCACCCACTGGCAGCCAAGCTCCTCCCTTCCTCCCGCCCACCGGCAGCCCGCCGATCAACTCCTTCCCCTCCCTCCCACCGCCTCCTGGCCTCCATGATCAGCTGTTCCATAGCATGCAGGAGGCACTGGGAGGGAGGGGGAGGAGAGGGGACAGGGTGCCCTCAGGGGAGGGGGGAGAACTGGGCAGGAAGAGGTGGACGGGACGGGGCAGGGGCGAGAAGAGGCGGAAGGGTGGATTGGGGGCAGGGCCTGGGACTGAGCAGGGGTTGAGCACCCCCAAGGAAAATTGGAAGCTGGTGCCTGTGCTCCCAACTCTCACACTTGTCACCATCGATAAGCCACTACTACCCACCCACGGTCTTTAAACCTTGTACTTTTTAATACATATGGGGGAAGAAGTGCCCCACTCCAAGCAAAGGAAGTACCACACCAATGTTTTCTACCATGTGTGGACTCCCTATCGCAATGCTAGATCTACTGAATCTGAAGTTACATTTGCTGCATCACGTTTCTCTCCCATGTGGCGTTTCATCAAGTGTTGAACCAGGTTCGATTTCTGAGTGAAGCTTTTCCCACATTTGGTACATTTGTAGGGTCTCTCCCCAGCGTGGATCCTCAGGTGTCTAGTCAGGTTTGATTTCTGCCCGAAGCCTTGCCCGCATTCAGTGCACTCATGAGGTTTTTCCCCCGTGTGGGTCTTCTGATGCTTGACAAGCCCCGATCTCCTGTTGAAGCTCTTGTCACAGTGGGGGCATTTGTAGGGTCTCTCGTTCATGTGGGTCCTCTGATGCGTTAGGAGGCTGAACCTCTGGGTAAACCCTACCCCGCACTGGGGGCATCTGTAGGGGCGCTGCCCCGTGTGGGTCGTCTGGTGCTTCCTCAGGTCCGAGCTCCAAGCAAACTGCTTCCCACAATGGAGGCATTTATGGGGTTTCTGTCCCATGTGGCGTTTCACCAAGTGTCGAACAAGGTACGATTTGAGAGCGAAGCTTTGCCCACATGCGGTACATGTGTGAGGTCTCTCTTGCTGGTGCGTCATCTGATGCTGGGACAGGCTGTACTTCTGGCTAAAGCTTTTCCCACACTGGGCACATGTATGGGGTCTCTCTCCAGTGTGGATCTTCAGGTGCCTAGTCAGGGTGGATTTCTGCCCAAAACTTTGCCCACATTCCCTGCACCGATGAGGTTTTTCCCCCGTGTGGGATCGCTGGTGGTGGAGGAGCGCCGAGTTCCACCTGAAGCTCTTCCCGCAGTCAGGGCATTTACGGGGTTTCTGTCCCATGGGGGTTCCCTGAGGCTGGGGATCATCACACCCAGCAGGTCTCTCCTCCCCTGGGGGATCTCCCTGCAGCCATGCTGCCCCACAGGCATCTCCCTGCTCGGGGCTCCGGGACATCCCAGGTGGCTCAGCTCCCACAGGTCCTTCCCATTGGGGATTCCCGTTGTCTATCCCGGCACCTGCTGGGAGAGAGAGAGAGAGAATCCAGCCGGGGCTCGTTCCCTGTGCTGGGGTGAGAGGAGGCAGCAAAGGGGTTTGTCGTTGAGCAGAAAACCTGATGAGCAGGAAGTGAAACCCCCAAACCCTTTCCCAGAGGGGAGAGGAGGGGCCGGGGCTGCTCCAGCATCCCAGCTGAGCCCTCAGAGAAAGGCTGGGGGAGGGATGGGCTCCTGCCAGGGGTGGATCCAGGAGCGGCACCTGCCATGAGGCAAGACAGACCTGGGGGGCTCCCGCTGGCTTTGCTGGGATCGCACCTGTTCCCTTCACTCCGAGGCGGTGTCGCTCATTCCTCACCTCTGTGGGCGCCTTTCGGGATTTCCCTTTCCTCAGAGCCCTGGAGATTCGGGACCCTCGGCTCTTCCTCTGGCTCCATCCGGGGGATCGCAGCCAGGTCAGGGATGGTGAATCCTTCTGGTGGGGAGGAAACAGGCGAGACGCACCTGGTGACAACTCCCCCTAGGGCTTTGTATGGAGAACATGCCCCGATTTTAACCCCAGCCCTGCTCTCTGCTGGGAAGACGCAGCATCACCATTTGGAGGGTGACCGTCTCTGTGCTGCTGGGCCTGGGGGCTCCACAAGCCACTTCCCCAGAAATGTAATGCTCCCGATGCAGCATGACTTCTTCAGTAACTCCTGCCAACCCCCACCCCCAGCTCCTGAAGCGGCTCCTCACCCAGCAAAATGAGAATGTCTTCCTTATTCTCCTCCTTAACCTCCCTGCAGATCTCGCTCTGTCCTGGATCCAGCTCTGCCCGCTCTGCCCCCGAGGAACACACAGTCTCCTCCTTCCATGTCACCAGCTCCTGGAACAACAAGGGCCCCCGATCAGCATGTTATCGTTCAGTTTAGCCATCTCACCACCAGGCTCAATCAGGCTTCATTAGTCAGAGCCCAAAAAGCACAGCACAGAAAGGCAAAGGTTAATACATCACCAATCCAATCTGGAAGAGCGTTTTTGCAGCGATCCAGATTGTCCTGAAATTATTGGCTTACCTCTAATCATATTTATTCCCGAGTTGTTTACAACAAAGGGAAAGTTCTACTCATCCCATGAGATTAACGAAGGTTGACATACCAGTCCTCACCAGTTTCTTATCTTGTTTTGAACATAGTTCTCTAAAGGTCAGCAACCCTTAGAGACACGTGCCTTGGTACTGACCGGATGTTGGTTAAGCATCAACAAAACTATCCATCTTATCCTGTCTCTTTGGTATGTCTCTGTACCTGACACTGAAATTGCAACACTTCATATGTGCCCTCAGTTAACCAATCTTAGCATAACTGAAAAGCACCCTGGGAAGAGCTTAATATGAATACAATTCATAGTCACACAAAGCATTAATATAACACACGCTATTGATATAGATTGGCATTATGTATATGATATTGGTTAACACAGAGACCTCATCAATTTTCTCGTCTCTAGTTCCCTTTAGGAGTTGCCAGACACAGAGGTGTCTTGTAACAGCCAGACTCAGATATCCGGAGGCTTCTGGGTTTCGCAAGCCTCAGATATCCTCATTCTGACAGGTCCTGCTAAGCTTGCAAACATCCAAAGAACAGAGGCACAGGTAAGCAGCACAGCGACTGCAACAGTTTAGTTCCCATGAGGTTTGCACAGCAAAGTTTAATACAACTCTAAAGAAATTGGAGAGTACAGTTCATGGATATACAGCATATACTATTCCTTATCTGCTGTGCACAGCCACCTTATACAATCATACCGCACTAGTAAAGCAAGTCACATTTTGTTAATCCATCTGTTTGCGAGCTGATTTCACATTCCGCAGCCAGATTCCATTCCTTGTATGGAAATTGCCTCTCTAGCACTAGTACAGGAGTTTTGCAAGCCGCGGTCTCTCCCGTCACGTACGGCCTAGGCGCTGCTTCAGTTTGGTCACCAAGAGCTGCAACCCTAGCCAGACCCACTCCTTCCCCGCCAGCCTTCAAACCATCAGATGGGAACTCCTGACCCGGAGACGTAGAGGAGAAAGGCCTCTTGTGCCATTCCCCCACCCCCATGAGCCACACCGTCCCCCCCATCTAGGGGGTGGATCAGAGCCAGCGCCTCTTAGAGGGGAAAGGCCCCATGGCCCATTCTCCACTTCCTGTGCCAGCCAGTCCCCTGTCCTGGGGCCAGATCAGAGCCAGCACCTCCCCATCCCAAGGTGAAAGGTCACGTATCCCATTCCCCGACCCCCTTCAGCCAACCAGTCCCCCCAGCCTCATGGGTGGATTGGAGCTGGCACCCCCAGAGGGGAAAGGCCCTGTGTCCCACTCCCCAATGATTTCACATCCGTAAATTACCTCCTGCTGTGGCCATATTCCGGGCTCTTCCTTGGCTAACTGGAACCCCTCTGCCAGAGCCACGGCCTGCTCCCCGGTCTGGGGGTGACACCCCCCTACCCAGCTCTGGATCTCTTGGGGCAGGATGCTCAGGAACTGCTCCAGCACCAGCAGCTCCAGCATCTGCTCCTTGGAGCGCTGCTCCGGCCTCAGCCACGCCCGGAAGAGGAGGCAGAGGTGGTCGTACGCTTCCCGGGGCCCCTCAGCCTCCTGGTAGCGGAAACCCCTGAAGCGCAGACGATGCATCTCCATGTCGACGGGTCCGTGGGCATCCAGCTCCTCCACTTCCTCTTTGGGAACCAGGCCACATCCCAGTGGGGGCTGGAACTGGAGCCTGAGAGCGGCTGGGGGAGCCACCTGGGCAGCCATGGCCCGTCTCTGAGCCGGAGCACAGTTGTATCTCCCTGGGGATCGCCTGGCATCAGCAATGGACCCCCTGCAGCACCATCTGTATGGGGGGGGCACGTCCAAGGGGGGATGAGATCAGCCCAGGGGATGATCACCACTGTGGAGAGGGGAGAGAAATTAGAGCCACAGAAGGAATGAGACACACAGGAACAGCCCCCCCCCCATCCCCAGTGTTGTGGGGAGAGATGCAGACCCAGCACAGGTGACCCCAAGGTTGGTGGCTCTCGATCTATCACCTACATACTTCTGCACACCCGAGTCTCCTCCTGGCCGCGTGAAGTGAAAATCAACCAAAAAAGTATCATTGTTAGGACTTGTAGCCCAATCTGCAGATTATATATTACTTAAGAATCCCCAATTATCACTTTGAGGGTTGACAAATTCTTGCCCCCAAGATCAGGCCCTGTATTATTCAAATTATTATATAGTTGGAAACCCCAATGTGCACAGTTGCAACACTCACACTATAGGAACTCTTCTATATTTATAAATATAGTTTATTAATACATTTAGCACAGTCACAAACACCCCAACTCAGTAAGGTAGGTAGAGATACTACAGAATGTACCTCTGCACGGCCATATACTCTCACCATCCCTTGCAGAACATTACGATCAACTTCTCCATCATCTCCAGTGGCCAACCCAAGGAGTACATCTCTGTCTCCTACTGCCCCTAGGCTGGATGAAACTTTTATAATATAATACACTGACGACACTATGTTTGATGCATATTCAGTAGGGGTATTTCCCTTTTTCCTTATTTGTATATCCTTACCTTTCCAATTTTGGACTGTCTTTCTTCTATGGGTTAGTATATCAATGATCTCAACTTATTATCATATATGTCAATTTGTTGCCATGGCCCTTTAGTGGTTAGGTATCTGCGGATGTAGCTCATGTACCTGTTATATATGTAAATTCATTGCCATGACACTTCTGAAGTTGGATCATGTACCTGTGGTCAGAACTTCCCCTTAAACAGTCTATTTTCAGCTCCCCAAATACTTGGGGTTTTCCACTGGGCCGTTTATCTGCGCAAAGTTTAGCTCTTCAAAGTTCATAGGCCTCAAGCCTTATGCTAACTTGCTGAAGCTAATGTCTTACAGGATTCAGGCCTGTAGGTTCCTTGCATTACTGCTGAATACAGAGGCACTGGAGCCCCCATGGAAAAAAATTAGTCGGTGCTTAGCACCCACCGGCAGCCAGCTACCCCCCTCCCCCCAGTGCCTCCCGCCCGCCAGCGGCCCTGCTGATCAACTCCTCCCTCTCCCTCCCAGCCTCCCCACCCGCTGTGATCAGCTGTTCCATGGTGTGCAGGAGGCACTGGAGGGGGGAGGAGAGGGGACGGGGCGCACTTGGGGAGGGGATGGAACTGGACAGGAAGAGGTGGGGCGAGGGCGGAGTGGGGGCAGGAAGAGGAGGGGTGGGGTGGAGCCTTGGGGGAAGGGGTGGAATGGGGGCCTGGGCGGCGTGTCCATCAGGCCGGGGAAGGCTGTGCCTCCCCAAACAGCCCTTCATGGCCTCAGCCATGGTCTTCCCCAATGCTACCTGGGGCTGGAGCTAGGGTGGCCAGGACTTGGGGGGGGTTGGGGCTGCCTAGCGCTGGGGGGGCCCCAGGTGCTGGGGCCATGCCACCTGGTGCTGGTTTGGGGGGCTGGAGGCGCTGGGGCTGCCCACCCTGTGCTTGTGGGGGCTGAGGGTACAGGGGGGGCTGGCAGCCATGGGGAGGGAGGGCTCCAGATGCCTGCAAGGGAAGGGGGTGGGGCCGCAGCAGGGGGCCAGCCAGCACCTGCTGCCCATGAGTGGGGCAGGGCCAGGGGGGGAGTCAAGCACCTCCAGGGAAAGGAGGAAGCAGGCGCCTGTGGCTGAAAGGCAAGCTAGCCCTCTGGGCTACAGACTCCTTACCTGTGTCTTGTGCCTAGACCAGCGGTTCTCAAACTTTTGTCCTGGTGACCCCTTTCACACAGCAAGCCTCTGAGTGTGACCCCCCCCCATACATTAAAACCATTTGTTTATATTTAACACTATTCTAAATGAGGGCAGTGAAGCGGAGTCTGGGCTGGAGGCTGACAACTCGCAACCCCCCTGTAATAACCTCACGACCCCCAGTTGAGAACCCCTGTCCTCGGTCCTGATACACAGATCTTCACGGAGCTAATTACAAGCCCCCACTGCTTTCCCAGAGTTGAGGACAGAACCCAGGAGTCCTGGCTCCCAGCCCCCTGCCAGAGCCAGGGAGAGAACCCAGGAGTCCTGGATCCCAGCCCCTCCCCCCCCGCCAGAGCCAGGGAGAGAACCCAGGAGTCCTGGCTCCCAGCCCCCCCTGCTCTAACCACTAGACCCCTGGGGACCCAACCCAGTGTGTAATATCTGTGCTTTCCCTGCAGCTGGCTGGGCAGGGGAGGAGGGTGTTTCTCCGTCCCAGCCCCAGTTTGGCTCCGATCCCCTCGCCCCTGTGGTGCCGCTTCCTCCAGGCACCGATTTCCTGCCTCTGCTGCAGTTTCTCTCCCTCCCCGGAGCCGCCTCTGGCTGTCTCCCCCCGCGCCCCCACTCACCGCCCGGCCGGGCTGCAGACGCAGACTCGCCCCCTGCGCACAGGGAGTGACTCCGAATCCAGGCGAGGTGCAGGGGGCTGGACAGGAAGGAGCTAAAGGTCCCTGCACTATTTACAACCGCTCTGGGAAGTGGCCAGGCTCAGCGCTCATTGGTTTTAACCCTCTAGTTCTCCAGCCCGCAGGGGAGCTCCAAACAGGGAAATCCACAGCTTTCTCCCTGCTCCATTACCAAGCCGGACCTCTCTTTCTCCCTGGCTCAGACCAATGCTGGGCCCCTAGCCAGGATCCTGCCTCCAGCTCTGCCCAAAGGCAGCTGCAGCAGGGGTGGTGGTGCGAGAAACACAGTGGCCAACTCTCACCTGGGTAAATAAGCACCCCGACTGTCATCAGAAGCCCAAACGCAAGCTAATCCTATTTCAAAACAAGTCAGTCCCTAAAAACCCCAACACTCTAAGTGACTAGAGCCCCCCAACCCCCCGACATGCAGTCTGGGACTGTGTTGGGCCCGCTGTGCACCCCGACTCCCCCCCCCCCTTGCCCCTGCTTGCCCTCCCTTGCCGGGAGCCAATAAAAAAAAAAAAAAACACAACAAGCTACCACAAGCAACAAGCCCAAAACTAGCCAACAAGCAACTCACAAGCCAATTAAGCCCAAAACAAGCCCAATTTCTGCAATGGGCACTTTGGAAAGAGTTCCCCACCCAGGGGGGGAAATTCCTTCATAGATCTGTAGAGATGAACTGAAGGCACCATCGGATGATCTACGCTGACCTCCTGAATAGCTCGGGCCAAAGATTTTCACCCCGTCACCCCTGTACTGAGCCCAATCGCTTCTCTTTGGCCAAAGCATCTTCCAGACCAGCCTCCTCTCTGGTTTGGATGCCGTCAAAGGACAGCAACTACATCATGCCCCTGGGGAGTGTGTTCCCTTGGTTAATCATCCGCACGGGTAAAAACTGGCACCCAGGGGCGCTGGAACAGGATGGGGGGCGGGGGGATCAAGGGGCCATGGCCCTCCCACTTTTCACCACAGTCCCAGCTCCCTGCCCCTCTTCTTCTCCCCGAGGCCCTGCCCCCCGCAGCCAGGCCAGAAACTGGAGCCTGGCCTGGGTAAAGAGTGGCCAGGCAGCTGTGGGGAGCCCAGAACCCTCCACCTGCCCAGGGTGGGGGGGCCTGAGAGCAGCCCCCGGCCCTGCCCCCCAGACCCCATTCCCAGGGCAGATGGAAGGTCTCCAGCTCCCCACAGCTGCCCGAGCGGCTCTTACCATGGCCCGGCTGCGGTTCTTTGGCCCCCAAGGCCCCACCCCCAGCCAGGCCAGAAGCCAGGTCGGAGTAAGAGCCATGTGGTCAGCTGTGAGGAGCTGCAGACTCTCCATCTGCCCTGGGTGGGGATACAGGGGGTGGGGACACAGGCCGGGGGCTACTCTCAGGCCCCACAACCCCAGGTAGGTGGAGGGGCCCAGGCTCCCCGACCCAGCTACAGCTTTCAGCTTGGTCGGGGGCAGGGCCTCGGGGGGAAGAGAAGGGGCAGGGTGGGACCATGGAGTGGGGGTCTCTGGCCCTCCCACTTTTAGGAAGAATCCCTGGTGCCTTGTTTCTAATTGGAGTTTGTCTGGGCTTAACTTCCTCCCATTCATTCTTGTTCCGCCTTTCGCCTCTAGGTGAAAGGGCCTTTTCATACCTGGTGTTTTCTCCCCTTGAAAGTACGGATTGTTGGGGTTTGCTTTCGAATATTAATGAGATGTCAAATAACCCATCCTCAATCAGCTTTTATTAGTCAGAGACAAAAGAGCCCCACCCAGAAAGGAAAGGGTTACAGCCAGAAAGGAAAGGGTTAACCCTTTATCACTCTGATCTGGGAAGCAGAGACTCATCTATCGTCTCCAGCAACATTCAATCTTCTCCAAAATCATCAGCTTAACCCTCCTTGGGTATATACCTCAGTTGTTTACAACAAAGAAAGGCTTCACCCAGCTTTTAATCAGTTTCTTATCTTGTTTTGAACACAGGTTTCCAGATGTCAGCAAACCCAGCCTGCACTAGCCCCAGGTGAGCCTGCATATTGGTCAAGCATCAACAAAATCATCTCTCTCCTTACCAAGCTGTACAGACTGTACCCGGCACGCTAGCATATTTGGCAAACTTCAGCACAACATACATTGAGTATCGGACAGGTCCTGCGTGCACAAGGAACTGGGATTACACACAGTTCACTGCAGGCTTGGCCTCAGTGAAAAGCATGCTGGGAATCTGATTCACAGTTACACACTGTTAGCATAAGTATAAAGAATATAAAGCCTGATAGATATGTAGTGCCCCCTCTCCACCCGGTTACCTTCTTTAATGCCAATCTGCTTACAGGTTTTGATGGACAAGTCTGGGTCCTTCTGGATCCCGCCACCCACTCAGCAGGGTGTATCTTCTTTATTTTTTCCTATGAATTTATTTGGCAGTGACTCCACCCCCCTCGCTCCTTCCTGGCAGGGTCACCAGGGCAGCTTGGGAGGGAAATTCTAACCACAGGGTAATCCCCACGTACTTGCCAGATAGTTGGAGACTTCCAAGAAATAACACAAACACATACAAACACATACAGTATATTCAACACAATAATTATATTAAACAGGCGACAAATATAACATAACCGGGTAAAACACTATTCTTGGGGTCACCGGTGCCCATGCTGCTAATATCTGTGACTTTCCCCAGTCACGTGACTTGATGTAGCAAATGTAAGATTAGTGTCCCGTTGTTGTACGTGTACTTTGTTGGGGCCCTTGATGACCTATGACCACAAAATTCTCCTCTGCAGTGGTTTAGCAGTGTGGCTGACTGGGTTCAGTACAACCCAAAGAACGCACAAGTGGGAGAAGGTGGTGGCGCCGGTCTTTTCCCGGTCGGGGGGGTGAGGTGGGCCTTAGGCCTTCTCTCCCCCCGAGGCCCTGCTCCCTGGCTAGGCCAAAAGCCACTTTGGGGAGCCCCAGACTCTCCACTTGCCCTGGGCGGCACGCCCTCAGGGATGGAGACACAGGCTGGGGGCTGCTCTCAGGCACCCCACCCAGGGCAGGTGAGGGTCCGGGCAGGGCTCCCCACAGTGGCCCAGGCTCCATGGGCAGCCCTTACCACAGCCCAGCTCTGGCCAGGGGTGGGGTCTTGGGGGAAAGAGGAGGAGCGGGAGGCGAGGCCACAGTTCCGGTGCTGGTGGCCCCCCCACTTTCTTCTTCACAGGTTCTGGCGCTCCTGCGGGGGGCCCCAAATTGGCTGGGACCCCTGGACACATTAATCTGCCACTGACCAAAGTCAGGCCATGTATTAAAGCAGAGGCTTACAAGTTCACTGTCCGGTATATGAACTTAGCTAAGGTACTGCTAGCATTGCTAAAACACAGGCACTCCTCAGAAGTACTAGGCACCGGGGATGATTAGCACAGGCACGTCCTGACCTAGCACAAGATAAGAGGGGTTTGGCAGCAGTGATGAATAGGGATGTTGTGCCTGAAACATCAGTGTAGTAGAAAGAGCCTGGAACCTGGGGCCTGGTGCAAGGCCTGAACCCTGAACCAAAGTCAGCAAAAGTTATGCTATGAGCAAACGTCAAGCAGACGTTTGCCTGCAAGTTCATTGTCTGGTACATGAACTTGGCACTTAAGTTCTCTCTAAGCTGCGCGGTCGCTGCCTCTTAAGCCCCACGCAGGGGCTCAGGGCTGTGGTGGGGAAAGATGCCTCTCCTCCAGCGCGGACCTGCCGCAGCGGGGAGAGGTGTCCCTGGCCCCTCCACGCCGGCCCCAGTGTGGACCTGCCCCAGACTTGCCACAGTGGGGGGAGAGGAGCCCCTTCCCTGGCCCAGCCCAGGCCGCACCCCGAACCCCTCATCCCCAGCCTCACCCGAGAGCCTGCACCCCCAGCCAGAGCCTGCATGTCCAGCCAGAGCACTCCCTCCCTCCCCCGCACCCCAACTCTCTGCCCCAGCTCTGAGCCCCCTCCCACACTCCGAACCCCTCAGCCCCACCGCCACCACATGAATTCTGTTATGTGCAGCAATATGAAGGTGATGTGTCACACGTCACCTCTATATTGGTGCACATAGCAAAATTCAATCCGCACGTGGATGTAAGAAATTAGAGGCAACACTGCTTGGCACAGACACTGTTAGCCTTGCTAAAACACATTGAATATGTAAACACATTCCAGCAGGCCAGCACAAGTACATCATAACCCAGCACATGATAAGATGGTTTGGCAGAAATAAAGAAGAGGGATGTTTTGTCTGAGACTTCAGGAGAAAGGTAAGAAACATGGACTGGTAAATCAGATAAAGGAGAAAACGGTAGGGTTAACGGAGCACCTTAGGAGACAGGAGATGTGACGTGATCACAGAGGAGTGGATAAAAAAGAATTTCCAAGCGAAAATTGAGAGTAAGCAGGTTAACACCTAAAACTGATGCAGTCGCACATGGAGTTGTCCAGAAACAGTTAACTGCAGCAGAGAAGGGCCCTCCTGCAATCCATTTGGCATGTAGACGAAAAGCAACAAAGACTGCAGGAACAAATTCAGGTTTTGCAAGAGCAGATGACCCCTACTCTCATCCCAGAATCAGGATAAAAGCCAGGGATACGGGTTCCCAACCGCTTTAACCCTCAGAGTCCCACTCCTTGCTCAGAGCTAATAATATAACCTTTCTCAAATATTTTTACATACCAGTTTGATTTGCCTTTATTTCCTTTCTGTTTGCTAACCTCGCTGCTGCTGCCTGTACTTTATGATACTTTGACAGAGTTAATTAATCTCTCCTGCCTCAGGTCTCCCTCCCTCCCTCTTCCCCTACTTCTGCTCACTTCTGTCCTCTGTTTTAAATGTTAAAACTTATAGTTATTACAGAAACCTCTATCGCTGAAAAAGACAAACACCTGAAAACTAGACAAAACAAAAGGCCAACAAAGAGAAAACAAAGTAAAAACTTACTTTAAATAAGCCCAGTAAATTAACCATTTTAACCCTTCAGGAATGCCACAGCTGGAATTACTCTGAACTCTCTTGACGATATGGTTCCCAAGCAACAGAAATGCAGACTTTGCTTCT